CGCACATGGAAGAAGCACACCAGCCTGTGTGATCATGAGGTGTCAATGGGATCAGGTATCAGGCATCAAAGACCCAGAACAAAAATCATATCAATGTGAATGAGGGGGAGTGCGGAGTGGAGACCCAAAGCCCATCTGTAGACAATTGGACCTCCCCTTACAGAAGGGTCACAAGGGAGAGATGAGCCAGTCAGGGTGCAGTATAGCACCGATGAAACATACAACTTTCCTTTAGTTCTTTAATGCTTCCCCCACCCCCACCTTCTAATAAGACCCCAATTCTATCTTACAAATCCGGTAGACCAGAGCATGTACATGGGTACAGATAAGATCTGGAAACACAGGGAACCAGCACAGATAAACCCCTCAGGACCAATAATGAGGGTAGCGATACCAGGAGGGGAAGAGGAAAGTAGGGGCAGAGAGGGGGAACCAATCACAATGATCTATATATAACCCCCTCCCAGGGGGATAGACAACAGAAAAGTGGTTGAAGGGAGACGTCGGACAGTGCAAGACATGAAAAAATAATTTATAAATTATCAAGGGTTCATGAGGGAGAGAGGGTGGGGAAAAAATGAGCAGATACCAAGGGATCAAGTAGAAAATGTTTTGAGAATGATGATGGCAACAAATGTACAAATGCGCTTGACACAATGGATGGATTGATTGTGATAAGAGCTGTATGAACCCCCAGTAAAATGATTTTTTAAAAATAAGTTACTTCTGGTGTACGTCTGATGCCTCCCTTTCTGGTTTATATTGTGTTCTCATTGTCAGTTAGTCATTCGTGGAGGGACATTCATCTATCTTAGGGCAGATGCCACACTCTCCTAATCCCTGGGCCTACAGGGTAATATCCAATCAAACCAACTCTCTGTTCATTTGATCATTTCTATTGCCAGTCTCCTTTTCTGAACAATTCTACCACCATCGATGCCTAAGCTACAACCCTCTCTTCCCGCCTCCCTCCCTCACCTGGTAACCATCGTGAACCTGTGGTTTCCATTGGATTTGCCTTTTTCATCTCAGTTAAGTGAGAGTCTATTGTTATTTTAAAAGACAAAGATAAAATTTAATACACATTCGCTCAGCAAGAATTCACTACGGAATCAACATCAGCTAGAACAACATGAGACCCATGGGAGATGAAAAATAGTGAATAAGCAAACCAGCATCATTCATAAACTGGGTTTTCCTCTGCAGGACTCAGTATGCCTTTGCACCACTAGACTCCTGTTCGGTGGTTTTTAGATTATTTTAAATAGTTTCTCCTTGTATCATTGGCCTCCTTCTTGCT